CCATGCCAGCCGCGTGCTTTTCACGAAAGAACTCGCCAATGACGTCACATTGTTCTCGTGGCAGCGGCCACTGTCACGTCACACAATATTTGGTTCCTGTAACCAAGTCAATCTCATGACGTACATATATATCCGGAGGTAACCTCGTAGGAGGTTTTCTGGAGACAACATCTCCACATTCTTTCAAAAAAGTAAAATAAGGATCCGATGGGTTCTTCAGGATCTGGGATCCACTGCGCGCATTCAGCGCTTTCTTGGCATCCTCCAGAACTGCTTTATCCAAAAGCGATGAGGAGTTCAACTCCTCTTCAGGTCGTATAACGACCACTTCGGTGATGTCGCCTGCCTGTAGGCATTGCCAAACTCGGCAAAGGACAACCCTTCCAGCTCTAACAGAGCACTTACTGCGGGTATAGCTGAAAGATCCACCGACTCTTCAACATCCAGTCAAACCATTGACGAGTGTATATAGCTGCTCGATATCACCGTCACTCACGATGTTAGCATCGCTACTCTCAGCATCCGACGCATCAGCATCCACAGGCGTACACACCTCAAGGTTATAAACATCATTCTGTTTGCTGCCCGCATCCTACACTCTTGGGTCGATGCCTCGTCATGAGGTGCTTGCACCTTGTTGTCCTCGAAGACAACATCCATTTGTAACTTCACCCGGCCCTCCAGGGTCAGTACCTCGTAAAACACCCATGTCACTCGGGCTCTTGCCCTGACATCTTGCAGCCAACAACACCAATCACGGTGTTTAATGATGTAACATCATTCTCATGACACATGTCATATGTGCCATCTAGTGGGTTCTCAACCACGCTATCGACAATGTTGGGCCTCACCCAGGATTTTTGTCCTCGACACTTACATTGTCTACAAAGTTGGATATTCCGACATCCAACATATTGACCGACTTGGTCCAATATCCGCGCCAAAAGCGCTTTTGCTTCCTAGCAGAGGTGGGCTCATGACTCTCGAGAGCCCCACCAGGAGCATTGCGCGTTGCGCCTAAGGTCTTCGACCTCCAATCAATCCATGGCTCATGACGTTCTAGCCATGCCATGCCTAGGATCATACATCGCATCCAGATCTCAACCCAAACAGCGTTGCATGCTGTTAAAGTCCAAGCATCTTACATTTAACTCCATCGAGACTTTGGGTACCGTAACCTTCTTCATCCTCCACTTGACTACAGTCCATGGGAACAGACCCATCAGACGAGTAGTTATAATTGGCAGGCCTAGCGGCCTTAAAGTTGGTGTCGGCATTCCATGCCACTCCAACATCTTCCTCGAATGAAGACGAGTTACCCGGAAGACTTCCGTTCTGGCAACACCAAGTCGGAGGCCCTCCATGAAGACCGTGACTGCCTTGGGTATAGGGTCTATGATCATGGGAGCAATGAGAGTTTTCAGCTCTTGCACATATGCCGCAAGCTCACGCTTGCCTTAACGACACGCCAAAAGTTGCGACCGATTGCGGTGTGCTTGGATTGGCCTGTTTTCCAGCAATTATAGTTGTTAGAATAGGTCAACGCCCGCGTGCGTGCGGTCATCTTAGAGGTCTTAGCAACGTAATTTGTCACTTGGCTTTTGTGTTATTGTGGGTCCAATAATGCGCGGGCTTGGATTAAGCCTACCTTGCTACTAAAAATTCGTCGCAAAGGATGTCTTCGTGCACGCTTTATAAAACTACTTAAAGACAATACTTTTTCCCGTCGCATGTGCATCGTGTGCAAAATCAGTATCGATCTAGGCATTTCAAAACGTAGCTTATCTAATTTGTGGAGCTTTCCGGCAAATAAATGGTGCCCACCTCTGTTCTGCAAATCTTTTTTACGGCAAAGCTACTTAAAGCTGTTCTAGCTACATTGTTTACACTCATTTTGCTATCCTGCGGAACGGGTATCGCCAACGGTATGAGTTGGTTACTAACTTGACGTTAGTGCAATGCAAATCCTGATGTTCTGTTTGTCCTTAACCTGACTTGGCGCAATGCAGATCCTGATGTTATCAACAAATACTAACTTTCTACCGGTGTAACGGACCCGAGAGTAAGTTGTTGCTGGTTAGCAGCTTTGCCACCGATCTATTTGTCAACATTGCACTATGTTTGCTGTATCTTTGCATTTGCCTTCACGATAGCGCTAGAAGTTATGGTACATCCTGCCGTGGAACACGCCTTTACGTTATTAATGTCATTTTACCACAAAATACCTCAACTTTCCGAAAAATGCTACAGCAAGACATGTTGACTAAATTTGCTGTAGAATAGTATATTTGCTGATTGCGCAAACCTTTAGGTAAAAGTTGCTTGTTTCGTGGCTAGAATCTACGATAAGGAGCTGCAATAAAATGCAGTCTCGTGCAGAAAGGACGTTCAAAGTTATTTTTTCTTTCCGCTTGCTATTAGCTTTCGACTTTGATTGCATCATGAAGTTTCTATTTCAAGCGGTCACGAACAAAACAAATCCAAACTGAAGATGACAAGACAAGCGCTCCGGCCTGTTTCCGTGGTGACCAAAACAACTAGTCAAACATCCTGATTTGGCAGTTGGCTGAATATATATGTCTGCATCATTGCCGTCAGAATGTAAAGACAGATAAGCACTGACACTTTTGAGATTTTGTGCTGAGTGTGATGCTTTTTCACAGCATATACGACTAAGTGAATAAGCGTTATTGGCTTCGCAATAACGCGTCAAAGCAAGTCAATGAGACGCATTTCGAGCGTGAAACTGTGACGTCTCCATACCAATTCATTGTGGCGGCATAATCATGGTATATAATATCGACGCCAGTCTGCGGTCATTACATTTGTTTGCTACGCCTTCATCCGCTTAAGAAATGGTGCTGCGTATGTACAGCATACATATTCAAAAATGTTGTTGTGATCGTTGCCTTAACAAAATGGGCGTTTTACCAGTTATTTCATCGGTGAGGAAGAATTTCTACCATCCTCGTGAGATTTTGAGCTTGATCTGGCACGTAAAGAAGTAGTCTGGTTACCAGTCCGAGCAATGATTCAGTCTGGATAGTACACCTACTTGTTCTTTTGTATATCGTTTCATCTGGAGCTCATACTATGCCGGTATGTGCCAGAGGTACTTTTACGTCGGTAGTCCGGCGGAGGAGGAAAGAATAGTCCAGCTACCATCACTTTTTGTCCATAATAAGAGAACGAAGGAAACTGAGTCAGTGTTGCATCAAGGTTTGCGCAAAACCGTGTCGCCAAGGCTAGAATGTGACAAAGAATGATGACTTCTTCAGATCGTATCGATGTCAGCTTCAAAGAAGGCGCTTAAGATCCGAGGCATTTTGCCCAGTAAAATCTGGAATATGTCTGGATATGAGCATTGTAGACGCCATCAGTTCGTTTGCATTATGTCTGTCTTTAAGGCAAGTTGTCGAGATATACGTTATCAGAGGATCGCTGGTAGAACCTGAATTCACCCTTTGAGACGTGCTTCATAGCCTAACGCCGATACGTACTCGGAAGTCATCATACTTTTCCGCTCAAGTGGTCTTCCTTTGTTATTTTCAGCGAGATAAACTTATGAGTGGCGAAAAAAGTTATCACCAGAGACCTACGTGTTGAATAGAACAGCTGCAGCAATTTGGCCCTTGCGGTTCGGCAACACCCAATAACTGGCACCTCTTTCGTTATGATTGTTATTTTGCTTTGTTTCAACCTTGCCAGGAAAAAGCGTTTATCGAAGACATCAAATGTCGCATGTTTTCATAAAGGACATCTAGTTTTCTATCAGTGTTGCCAACAACCCACTCTGCTCTGATCGTTTGTTGCTAATTCTACTGGTAGCCAAAATTTTTTACCTCGCGCCAATAGCCTCTTAAATCTTGTCGACAATGACGTATTGGACAGCCGTAATAGATTGCAACGCGTCGACTTCTTGTCTTCTATTTAATGCGTGCTATTTCTTCCAAAGTCATAGCCAATAATTACCCGCATCTGCGTTACACTCCAGTTAGTACCAATTAACAAACCAGATCTTTGTCACGTTCAATAAACATCATTTGAGTGTGATGTCAAACTAATGTCAACACCTTTCACCCACTACTATCCTCACTTGCTTACACAACCACTCGATGCATTGCCACGTTCGTTTCAGAGCTTTATCACGTTCAATAAACATCGTTTGAGTATGATGTCACAGTAATGTCAACACATTTCATCCTTTACAAGCCTCGCCTGCTTACACAACCACTAAATACATTGCCACTCTTGTCCCAGTAGTCAGAAAATTACTCTTAAGCACACACATTAGAGCGCAGCCGTAATATAGAGTAGACCCGCACGAAGTCGACATTAAGTTGTCTCTTACAGCGTCATGTCTGTCTCGAGAGTATGCATATTGGTGTTGAAGACTTGCACAAACTTTCATATCCGTGTGAGTAAATAACCGATATTTACAATCAGCTACTGAATCTTGTGCACATTGTGCTCTGGCAGCTTGCCAATGCCGTTTGCGCATGTTCTAAGCTTTGTCTGTGTCGACTATTCGTTTCTTGATAGCGCCAGCTTTTTTCCGGGCAAAATGTGTGACCCATCGGCGCGTAAAGAGTTGCCCCGGTGGCGATCGTTTTGTGTTACGCAGCTGTAAATGCTATGTTAACAATGGCACCATCTGAATCATCACATCGGAAGACGACACAAAATAGCCGAGTAGAGCTTCCTACGTAAGCTGAGACCGTCGTAACCCAACAGCCGGCTCGGAGTACAGATTATGGGGACCAAAAATGCCCAAAGCGGTCCAGAAAAATCGATCAAATCGCCTATGATACTCCTGACGAGTCGTCTCGACGGTGACTCATCGATGTGTTACGTCTGACGCGAAGCTTTGTGGCAATGAAAGTGGTGGAGATGGATTACAATTACTTCGATGGATTTTTAGATGAGGATGTGGGCCCCTAAGCTAGCCTATCCTCCTTATAACTAACTAACTGGATGGTATCATAGTAAGAATACCGTTTTTAGTCTTGCCGTGCCCCGTGACGGATGCACACTCCACGACGTACAGCGCCCTTTTCGCAGCCTTCTTCTCGACATCGACGTCCGCCACCATGAGAGACGCAATGGTGGCCGCCGACAGCACTCTTGGAACACCCGACGACCTCACATCTTCTACCACCGCCGTGGGCAATACAGAGACCGCCCTTGAGTGCCGTCTTGGAGCACGTGAGCTTGCTACAGCGCTTGCCGCCGCCGTGCGCTGAACAAAGCCCTCCTGCCAGTGCAGATTTGGAGCATCCTTCTTCACGGCAGCGCTTACCGCCCCCATGAGCAATACAGTAACCACCTTCCTTCGCGCTCTTAATGCAGCCATCGCGACGACACCGTCTCCCACCACCGTGCGAGATACAAAAGCCCCCAGTTTTGGCACACTTGCGGCAATCGTGGACTTTGCAGAGTCGACTGGGCTTGTGAAATTCGCAGAAGGCTCCAAAGAGGCTATGGGCCAAGCGGTAGCAGTTTTTCTTCGAGCAGATGAGGCCCCCGTCTTGCGAAACGTTCAGGTGCACCGGGTCCGGATTAGTGATAAAGCGGAGACTCATCCGCTCACGCTGAACTGGCGTGAAAACCGAAGAGGCATCACTAGGCGTCGTGGAAGCGATACTTGTGGTGTCTGACTCGGGCGTTGGGTAGGACAGCAAAAACGTTTTGGGCTGAAAGGCAGGTGGGTGGAAAACTTCCAAGGGGAATTGCACGCGATGGTGCATGACACCACGAAGCATCGAATCAGTAAGCTGAAGCATATTTTGTGTATGTTTAAATATGTAGTTTGAGGGTAGAAGACGGCGGCGCAGGGGGGGGTAATACAGAGCGAAGCTGCGCCTGTGGCCGAGACTTGAGAATTACTGGGCGAATTTGGTAATGAGTAGACGCAACTCCGAACAAAGAGAGGTCGAGGATGGACGGACCCAATCCGATCCCGAAGCAAGCAGGTTGTGGCGCCATCTGCCGTTCACGGTCCAAAGCGAACGGCTGGGTTCGTTCTAACTCACACGACCGTGCACAAAACTGTTTGAAAAAGGCCCACGCCCCGTCTAGAGCAGGCACTTGATTGCGGGCATGCTAACGCTCGAAATACATCATCTGGTGAATGAATGTTGTGCTAGACGGGTGCATGTAGCGTCGATACCTAGCACTAAGTGACGGCACCGATGAACAGAGTCACTTGAGAAGCAATCGCGTGATGCTCCCAATTTGAGCTATTCTTTCGAGGTTGACTGCAGGCATAAAGTGCACTTTGGTCAACTTGAACTTGACGCGTTGCGTCCCGCCTGTCATAGAGCTTGGCTTTTGCCGAAGAAGATTTTCAGCAGTATATCACGTAGTACATTTGCAGATGGCAATATCATTTTTGAGCAACAAGTACTCTATAGCAATCAATTGTTGGCGTTCGCCCATCTAATTGTTGCTTTACGTTTTGCTTATACTCTTGACACGACGTTGCATGTCGCGATTGACATTTTAGAGCTGACTCATAGGCAAAACAGCTGTAAAACAGCTGCAAGCTCTCTAAACAAAAGTGGGCGTAACATACGTTGTCGATTGAGTGGTACTCCAGTCTTGTCTTATCGGATCGACACGAGAGAACCAAGTCGTCAGAGCTGTTCGACCTTTACACAGCCTGCAAGCGCCGGTAGTCTCGGCTGTAGCACGCACGTTGCGGATATACGGTTCAACGAATTGCACGAAAGCGCGACCGCCAATTGCTGGTAGACTGCCTCACGAAATATGGCAACAGATCAGCTTCGAATATACTTGCTACTTTATCGATGCACGTTTTGAAGTTTGGAGTTGCAATTGGGCTTAGCTATAATTCATTCCTGTGCCACTCGGTCCAAAATGAGCATGGCGATGGCTTCTTGACAGGCCAGTCTTCGTTACAGCAAGCACGATACATGCCGACTAGAGTGCGACATTGTGCGCAATGAGCAGTTTATAGCGCTTTTCGCAGCATAGACAATTACTCTTGAAGAAACAGTTGCCGCCCGAAATCAGCGTATTCCGTCTGCCACCGCCAAAGCGCTGCGCATGATATACTGTAATGTATTGCAAATAGACGATAAAAGCTTGGTTACGAGCAGAATTCACGCTGGTGACGAAATGATATCCTTTCAACTTATCCCACCATCTCAAGCAAGCTGGCCATGAATGTTCAATATTTAAGTCTTGGGACATTATGCTAATGAGGCTTTGCTGAGAAAAGGCAGTTCCGACTGGAGACCATAATTCGGCAAACCTTAATATAAAACTTTGAAAAATGAGCAAATGATTTGCTCTTATAAACTGCAGCATCTACGCATGTGCAAAATCTAAATGATCATTTGTATGCAAATACCTCTGCGACATCTTTACCTCATGAGACGAAAGACCAGTTCGAGCCGATCTGGAAGATGGCAAGCATCATTGGAGAAAATGTCTTTTTATGTGTTGAAAAACATCAGCTGAGCAATATTTTAAACGCAGACATTTTTACTTCTTTAAGTGTAGCGTTAACAGTCAGTCACACAGACGACGAAGCGGGATCAAAGCCGGCGCACTTGTGATGCTGCTATGCGTAAGAATATGATCAAGTGTAGATTCGTCACACAATTTACAACAGTCTCCAAATTAGCTAAGCATTTGTATAAACTTCATAGGAGTTTGCGTCCCCTCAAGGCTCCTACAGCTCTCCACTATCGTTGTATTTAACGAGTGTGCTTGAACCTTTTGTCGTAGATCCACCGTGAATGAAGCAATGAACTAGTTTGAGTACAAATGTATTCGGCAGCTCGTTGTAGATTATCTTGGCCATGACGAACACTTGCTAAGTCGAACAACGATCGAGGTAGCTTTGCCGGCCGTGTGCGGTTGAACTAACGTTTTTGTACAAGTCGTATCCTGACGACTGTCGTTGCTGTTAATCCCGAGCGATTTTCAGCAACGATCTGGCAGATCGCGTTATTATCCAGGAACTGTGCCTTAACAACTCAATCACATCGTGTAATAACTTACATTTATGAAAATTGGTCTCCTCTATATTGCAAGTGTCGTTGCAGCTTCAGTGATAATTAATATTTTCTGCTTCCGTATATTATGCAAAAAGGTTTATTTCGTGCTGAATGGATGCTCTGTGCAGGATGGGAGTAGCACTCAAGCTATTACGTTTTCAGACACAAAGTCGGAATTTGTCGCGTAAAAGACAAGTGATATCAAAAGCGTTAAGTTCAAACTTGCACAATGGGTTCGTGTTGGTGGAGTGGGTCCACCTACCTTCGGACAGGTTCGTGTTAACGCTTTCAAGTTTTTGAAGAATAGGAGGCGCCCTGCTACCCGTTGTATAGCGCTGACGTCTAGAAAAAATTTACTGCTGGATAAAATCAACACTCAAGTACTTAGGAGTGACGGAATGATTGAAACGTGCTATCTCCAGCAATTTTACTGGCCGGTCAAAGACTGGATGTTCTTTGCTTCTGTAAAAATGTTTGGATCAGGTAGTTATGCATTGCGACTGTGCAATTTGATATACCATTGAGCTAATTTATTTGCTCACACACGTAACTAAGATGCAAAACATGTCGGCGGAGGTAAGGTGATAAGTCGAGCTCGAAACATATAAAACTCGGCGCTACTGACTCTACAAAAATGCGCCGAGGTGTGCCAGTGTGAGACTTTAATGATCACTGGCATTATGAACAAACCTCTATCAAATTCGACGATTGTATCATTCGCTGCTGCTTAAGCATCATGTATTGATTTTTGCGGTTCTGCGCGATCTGTCAAAGGACGTTGATAGACCGAGAAGAAGTAGGAGACAGTAAACAGCTTTCGAGGGTGAGCAGCGGTGTGAGACATCGATGGATGATACAAAGCAAGCAGAGTTGGAGAGAAAACAGGAATAGCGATGTGAAAAATTAGGAGCGCCGCCATACGGCAAACTACATGCTATATAGCAAGAAATGTACACTCTTTTATTTTCTATGAATGGTAAGTTTTGTGTTAATCGATAGTCGATAGCAATCAGTCATGCAATAGCGTAATAAACCGCCAGACTCGGTAAGTATTTCGAGCTGAATGCGCTGGCTTTAACAAGCATTTGTAGGTGCGTATAACACAGACTCCTGCCCACTCCATTTTGGTGTGGTACACACTCTTTGATGTAATCGTTCCTAAGGTGCAATGGGTTCACATCATGACATGGAGCCACGTAACTATAGCACTTAATTAAGTACTATGAATACAATTGTGTATAGAGTAGAATGTGTACAGAGCCAATCAAAAATGCTGACTAGCAGTAAGTATAAATAGGCAATTCTATACTAGTGCTAGAAAGAAATATAAAACTTAATAATCATTATGAAATCAGTTCTGTAAAACGCGTTTGTTGCTTAAGCATACTCCTATAGAAGGAAGTAGTATCAGCTGAAAACAAATACTGGTCTCGTTGAGACGTTGGATGTACCCCCAACAAAACACAAACTTACAATGCTAGTCATGTGAGGGTTTAAAACCCTAAAGGCGTAAAGCTCGTAGATCTTATATTTTCTAGACTCCGTGCATCTAGTAGCTTGGCAAAGGTAGCTTGGCTACACCTAAAAGCACATGCAGTCAATCCCGCACCTGGGTCTGGGACTACTTCACTGTAAGAATGGCCGTCACCTACGGCGACTATGGCGCAGAAGTGGTCCGCAGACCAAAATTCATACATATGGAAGTCGATATGTTCGACAGCAAGGAAGGTGATAGCCTTATGCTTTGTTCCGACAAGTTGAGTCGGCTATGTTTATAGCTGATATCACCTATGGACCATACCGTGTGGGCTTTGCCACGGGTAAGTTGGGTGGATTGGCCAAGCAATGAATGTTCACATGCTGTTCATCATTGCAAGATGCCTTCGGAACATGGGCAGATATGAAGGCTCAGATGATCCGGCAGTATGCGCCACCAAACCAAGCACACCGCAATCGGTCGCGGTTTTTGGCGTGTCGTCAAGGCAAGCGTGAGCTTGCGGCATATGTGCAAGAGCTGAAAACTCTCATTGCTGCCATGATCATAGACCCTATGCCCAAGGCAGTGCCGCACGGTCTTCATGGAGGGCCTCCGACTTGGTGTTGCCAGAACGGAAGTCTTCCGGGTAACTCGTCTTCATTCGAGGAAGATGTTGGAGTGGCATGGAATGCCGACACCAACTTTAAGGCCGCTAGGCCTGCCAATTATAACTACTCGTCTGATGGGTCTGTTCCCATGGACTGTAGTCAAGTGGAGGATGAAGAAGGTTAAAACGGTACCCAAAGTCTCGATGGAGTTAAATGTAAGATGCTTGGACTTTAACAGCATGCAACGCTGTTTGGGTTGAGATCTGGATGCGATGTATGATCCTAGGCATGGCATGGCTAGAACGTCATGAGCCATGGATTGATTGGAGGTCGAAGACCTTAGGCGCAACGCGCAATGCTCCTGGTGGGGCTCTCGAGAGTCATGAGCCCACCTCTGCTAGGAAGCAAAAGCGCTTTTGGCGCGGATATTGGACCAAGTCGGTCAATATGTTGGATGTCGGAATATCCACACTTTGTAGACAATGTAAGTGTCGAGGACAAAAATCCTGGGTGAGGCCCAACATTGTCGATAGCGTGGTTGAGAACCCACTAGATGGCACATATGACATGTGTCATGAGAATGATGTTACATCATTAAACACCGTGATTGGTGTTGTTGGCTGCAAGATGTCAGGGCAAGAGCCCGAGTGACATGGGTGTTTTACGAGGTA